CTTACTTATCAATACAAAGCACATGATATTATATAACTGTGTCATCCATATTTCCCAGTTATTTCCCTTTTTTCACTTTGAAAATAGGGCCTTGTCTGGTTTTTTATCTTAAATTTCTCCTAATTGCTTAATTACTTTACTGATATCTTTCATATTTAGTAGGTGGATACCTTTGATGGTCCTCCAATTTTTTTTGGAGTAAGCGGTCTCTAGGGTCAAGGTCAAGGTCACTGGTTTAAAAAATAAACCTTTTTGCTCATACAGCCTTTATTTTTTAGTTGATGTCTTAGTTTAATACAAACACCTCCTTCTTTGGGTGTAGTATGGGGTCATTTGGGTCAAGGTCAATGTTACCAATGTCAAGGTCACCAATGTTAAAAATAGATTTTTACATTTTTACAGGTGTATTGACCTTTTTATTCTATAGACAGATACTATTTATAATTGATAGAAACATAAACTTTGATGGAGTTAGTGGTCAGTTGGGTCAAGGTCACCAGTGCTAAAATAGATTTTTACACATTTGCTCATACAGCCTTTATTAAGTGACAGATATATTTTGTATTTGGTAGGAAGATAACTTGCATTGTATTCATCCTTTTGATTGGGGTAGGGATTAGTGGGTCAAGGTCACTTGTGCTAAAAATAGATTTTTACACTTTTGCCCATACAGCTTTTATTTATTGACAGTTGTATTTCATATTTGGTAGGAAGATAACTTGCATGGTATTCTTCCTTTGGATGGAGTTAGGGGTCAGTTGGGTCAAGGTCACTTGTGCTAGCTAAAAATAGATTTTTACACTTTTGCCCATACAGCCTTTATTTATTGACAGATGTATTTCATATTTGGTAGGAAGATAACTTACATGGTATTCTTCTTTTGGATAGAGTTAGGGGTCAGTTTGGTCAAGGTCACCAGTGCTCAAAATAGATTTTTACACTTTTGCCCATACAGCCTTTATTTAATGACAGATGTATTTCATATTTGGTAGGAAGATAACTTGCATGAAGTTAAATATTTTTCAACTTCACAAGTCAGAGCAATGACTTGGCAACTTATATTTTTCACAATTACAAAATGCCATGACTTTGTCAAGTTATAAAACTTGTGTTTACAATTTTTTGGCGATTTTTCTGTCCATAACTGAGTGAATGGGTAAACATTTTTTGAAGTATTGCTACTGACAAGAATCTGAGCCGGGGGCATTTGTGTTTAACAAACACGTTCTTGTTTTAATATTCACCTATCATTTTATATTATGTTCTATATCTAACTTAATTGTCTGCAAAATCCTTCATTTTTAACTTGTCTGCAAAATTCAACATTAAATCTGTTTGTGAAATACAGATTTTTCTAATATTCACCTAACATTTTATATTCTGTACTATATCTAACTTGTCTGCAAAGTCCTTCTTTCTTTAACTTGTCTGCAAAATTCAACATTAATTCTGTCTGCAAAATACAGATTTTTCTAATATTCCCCTATCATTTTATATTATGTTCTATATCTAACTTGTCTGCAAAACCCCTCTTATTTTAACTTGTCTGCAAAATTCAACATTAATTCTGTCTGCAAAATACAGATTTTCTAATGTTCCCCTATCATTTTATATTATGTTCTATATCTAACTTGTCTGCAAAATCCCTCTTATTTTGACTTGTCTGCAAAATTCATCATTAATAATGTCTGCAAAATACTGATTTTTCTAATATTCTGCTGTCATTTTATATTTTGTTCTATATCTAACTTATCTGCAAAGTACAGCATTAATTCTGTCTGCAAAATACAGATTTTTCTAAAAGTCAACTATAATTTTATGTTTTGTCCTATATCTAACTTCTCTGATAAGTTCAACATTAATTTTGTCTGCAATATACCGATTTTGCTTATATTCCCCAGGCCTCGACATTAGCGGTGGTCCGGTGGTCCGAGACCACCTGATTTTGGCAAGGACCACCTAATTTTAAAAGACACTGGTCCGTTGGACCAGTTGAATTATCTGGTTGGTGCAAGGCTCATTTGGGAGTATGGCGATTTGGTCAAAAAACATGTTATATACTTGGTGTTTAAAATCATTTGTCCTGTACATGTACATGTATACGGTTCATAAATCTCTGATTAGTTCAAGAAGTTCTTAAGTCATCAATAACTTTCATTTTAAGTAGCTAAAATTCTATTTATGCAAGTTAAAAGAGTTAAGAATTTGTTATATCGATTTAGGTAGAAAATTCATTCAAATGATGCTTTAATTTGCTAGTAATTATGATATTGTATGGGATATCGGATGAACTTAAATTTAAGAAACTTAAATAATGGCATCAAATAAAATGGAATGAAATTCTTTGCTACTTATCTTTATTTTAACGATAAGAGATCCATTTCTTCCACAGTTAAATTACTTCAAAAGGTTAGAAATACTCAATGTCAAAAATAAATATCAACCAACAAGCAACAAGGAGGTAAAAATTCTGCTTTGAGAAAAATAAGTAAAACTATAGTTATATTTAACGTTGGTATCATTTTTTATCCTTTAGATATTTCCTTGTTTTTAAAGACAAGAATTAGATAATTTAATAGTTTGATTAAAAATGTTAATCTATAAAAGATAATTGATCATGATTATAAGAGTTAGACGTACCATGTATCAGCAATGAATATTTGATTAACAGTAAGAAAATAAGGCAGACACAAATGGTTTCACTATTCCTTAACTTAAGTTAAGAGAGTAGTAGTTTCAATATAAAAATTAAAATAAAATCGTTATTTTTATCGCATATAAATTCGTTTGTTTTATCACCAATTTCTTTAAGATATGTATTTCAAGCCTATACTGTAACGTTAATTAATATGTTCCATATGTCTGGAATATGCAACTGTATATTTTATATGTCTGGAATATACAACTGTTTATTTCTTTGATCTTATGACTGCACAATAACAGCAGGAGGTGCACACTTTCACTTAAGATGAAAAAATCTATATCTAAGTATATCTGTTTTCTTTATTGTAAAGGTTAATAATCTTTGTCATCAATTCAAAGCTTTTTTTCTAAATCTGCAGTCAAAGAAACAAAATTCAAAAACAATAAAATAATAATATGGTAATGATAATTGACCACCTGACTTCCGGAAGGACCACCTAAATTTCAAATCTAGTGGTCCGGCTTACCACCTGCTAAAAAAGTTAGTGTCGAGGCCTGTATTCCCTCATCATTTTATATTTTGTTAAATATCTATCTTGTTCTGAATTTAACTTGTCTGCAAAATTCTGTCTACAAAATATAGATTTTCCTTATTTTCACCTATGATTTTATATTTTGTTCTTAAGTTCACTGCAATATTCAACATCTATTCTGTCTATACTTCATGTATTAACTTAAAAAATATATAATTACTACTAGGTGATAAAGGGATTAAACCAATTACTGCTTGATTATACAAGGATTGCACAAATAAACATTGGTAGTATACTACAGTAATTATATGTAATTGTTTATGCGACAATTATCTATATAATTGATTTACTTTGATAATAAACGCTTTTACTTTTTTATTTGGATACAAGTCAATTAATATTGTTTGTTTGTTTGTTATAATCATTATATTCTGTCTCATGCAATTATTTTGTGTTGTTTTTTTTTAAATTATATTCTTATATTTTTTATGAAAAGAAAAGTATTCTAATAAAAAACATTAAAACTATTTTTCAAATAATAAATAGTTTTGCAAATAATTATAGATCTTTCTAGATGGCATTAAATCAATATAATTGGCCATTCACTCCTTTTCACAAGGGATTAAATAATCTATATTGTCTGCAAAATCTAAAACCCTTCTTTATTTAACTTGTGTTCAAAATCCCTCTATGTTTAACTTGTCTGCAAAGTCGTCTGCAAAGTATAACAACCCCGAGTTGGCTCTTTATCTGGATTTAGGACAAAAAGGCCTTGTGCCTTACAACTTCTAAATGTCTAGGAATGTTTATATTGAAAATCATCATAGTTGGTATCAGTGTTTCTCGATCTTGATAAAAGTCCCACATGTACATTTACTTAACCCTGTACCTCATATATACGCGAAACAACGCACTTTTGACCCCCCCCCCTTTTTTTAGGCCTGAAATAGTGAAAAAATGTCCTATTTGGGCCTCAATCACGTTTTCGTTTGAGAAATGTTGCTAAAAAAAGTGAGCACTTTTTCGGCGCCGCCCCCCATCTAAAAGATACATCAGGGGGTTGCCAGAAGGGGGATGTGCTGCCTTCTGTTTTGGGGGTTTGAAGGGGGGCGGAGTCCCCCTCATCACCAAGAAAATTTTGGACTTGTGAGAGGCTAAAAATGACCCCAGGTCGATCATAAGGTAACGTGTAACCAACGCTGAAAAGCCTTTGACTCTATCTCAATCCCTTGAGAAGTTGCAGCACTTTGAAATAAATTTTGATGGAAAAAATCGAGGCAAAATAGTGATTTTTGGCAATTTTGAGATGTCCCCTCATTGCCATGGTAACAGGAAATTTAAGACTGAGCATGTCGTTACAAAGGCAATGGTCCAGTCAACATTTGTGCCAAGCTTGATTAGTATTGAAGCATTTTTCATAGTTTCATAGCAGTTTGAACTTGTAACAGGAGGCTTATCAGTGAAAACGACCATTTTTCACAATAATTATGCTCATGAGGGAAAGTGTTAATAAAGTATCATCTTTTGGGATCAGGGGAAGTCACTGTATGAATATGGATAAAAACATTTCTTTGCAATAGGAGATAGTGACTGTGTCAGTTAAAGGCTGTATGTCATTGTGGAAGGCAGTCTGGATAGTGGAGTGCCACAAGGTAGTGTGTTGGGGCCTGTACTTTTCGTTATGTATGTGAATGCTATTACAGAAAATGTTAAATCATGCATTAAAATATTTGCTGATGATACAAAATTCATTAATTGATACTACACCAACAAGTAAGATATTCTCCAAGACAATATTGTCTCAATTATGAACTGGGCAGTAAAATGGGTATGCAGTATGGTCAATTATAGCATATAGCATATAAGAGTAGTCATTTATTTGAGACTCACAGTGCCACATTTATGACCTTGAATTATCCATTATTATTAGATTTCTTCAAATTCATTTCTTCAATTTATTTATATAAAAAAGAATCTACTTACTATAAATCAAGAATTATAATAGCACATTTTCATCAATTAATGATTAAAAATTGCCTTGAATAGCACTCTATAAAACTGATGTGGTGGGGTTTTGTCCACTCTGTAAAATTTAGTGATAGGGTTTTGTCCACTCTAGAATATTGTTTTCTAAGGCCATTTTTTATTTCAATAAGTTATTTTTAAAGTTCTGATAATATTACATCTCTAATTTATTTATTTCTCCTTTTTTTGGGTTGGATTTTATGTAGGATTTTATGTAGGTAAAGTACTTGTGCATAATACACAAGTTTTCAGCTTGAATGATTTTTGGCTGAGTTATTACCCTTGAAAAGAAAAGGTGTTTTTTTTTTGTATTGCCAGCTACACAAATATTGTCTAGACTACTCCTCAGAAACTACTAGTGCAATTTTATTAAAACTTTTGAGGAATGTTCAATACCATGTCTAATTGTGCATCTCATCAACATTTTTTGTTCATTGATTTTTGTCAGAGTTTTGGCCCTTTCATGATTTTAATTTTGAAATTTGTCTGGACTACTCCAGACCTGTTATACCACTAATGCAATTTCAATGATTTCCACAAACTGTCAACACTTACAATTACACATGTTATCTTTAAAATTGTAATAAAGTTTAATTAACACTTTATTATTTCTTAAGGTCTTTGTGCTGCAAGACAGTTACAGAAAAATGGTGAGAAGGTTTTGGTGCTGGAAGCCAGGGATAGGGTTGGTGGAAGAACATATACTTTAAAGGTAAGCCAAAGTAATTTTTTTAAAGAAATGCTGCAGTTTATATGATGACTTTATGCAGCTATGGGCTGTATACAAATGGAATGCAGTAATGCTGTAAAAATGAAAAAAGTTATAATATGAATAAATTTGTGATTATTAGATGTGTATATCATAGAAAAGTTCAAGAACAGTAAATATAATTAATGAATTTAGCATCATTTTAATGAAGCTTGATCTTTCTAGTGCTTTCTAGTCCACTTAAAGCAGTCTTACTTTGACTGCTTATTATTTTAATTTTATTACATTTCATTTCTCTGCAGGATGCTGATCATGGAGCTATTGACCTTGGTGGAGCATATGTCGGACCTACTCAAAACAGAGTATATAGAATATGTAAAGAGTTAGACCTGAAGTTGTACAATATTGATGAAAATAACTACACCGTTATGGATTTAAGGGTATAAAATCTTAGATAATAATATTAATTTATTATCTACATTTGATGGAGTATTAACTATTTATAAATCTGAAACAAGTTATTAATGTTTCTTGATATTAACTTTGTCTTATAATTTTATGTAACTTAATTGGATTACACAGGTCTTCAAATTTCATACTATTGACTAACTCATAAAATGAAATTCAACATTTGCCTGTAATGTTATGAAGTAACTTGTTGTGGCATGGCCAAGTAGTTAACGCGTCGGACTAGTAATCTAATGATTGCTAGCCATATGGGTTCAAACCCCATCAGGGGCAAGTGGTTGTTTCCTTGAGCAAGAAACTTAACACTCATTGCTCAGTACTGGTTTCCAGGAACAGATGTAAAAGTGTGTCTTTAAGCTTCTACCTTCCTACACAATGGAACTAAAATAAATTCTGTATATTTGTTTTGTTTTTTTGCAGCGTCTACAAATGAGTTGCAGACAAAAAAACTTTACAGATGAACATGAATACTCAGTTAATGTATGATGTACCTGTAACTTATGTATTTATTTACAGAGTTGTTGGGCTAAGTTTAAAGGAAGTATGCCACCATTTTGGAATCCATTTAAAGTGCTAGATATTAACCATTTTATCAGAACATTTGATATCATGGCTAAACAGGTAAATCAGTATTCAATTATTATGTAATTGTGTTAACAGAGTAAATCAAATCTCAATGCTGAATTTGTTAGTACAAAGGTATAAATATTAGACAATATATTATAAATCTAAGAACAGATGTAAAACAGGGTATGTTGCTGAGTGGTCATGGTCTTTTGACTTTGAACCACTAGCCCTCTTACTGCTGTGGGTTCCAATCCTGGCATGAGATTTGGATTCTTTCATGTGACAAAGCTATCCAGCTAGCTAACGAAATGTTGGTGGTTCTACTTAGGTGCCTGTTTGTGTCTGAAATAAAGCACAGAAGGGCTTCTGGGATCTGTTTCCACCAGTAAAATTGACAGGCCTATATGACTTGTACTGTGTTAGTGCGACATAAAATCCAACCCAAAAAAAAAGGAGAAATAAATAAATTACAGATGTAATATTATCAGAACTTTAAAAGTAACTTATTGAAATAGAAAAATTGCCTTCGGAAACAATATTCTACAGTTTCTAAAATCTTTTAAAATAGTAAAATAAGGCATGACTCCATGTAGAATATAAATATCTCGGTCAGAAGAGAGTGATTCTGCTAGTATGATACCTATAATAACCATTTTAATTTTTCTTGAGATTCACAAATCTGAGTAAAAGTTGAACACATAAGATCAATTTTGTATGCTTCAAATTAAATTTAACATTCTGAATTACAAACTTAGAACTTGTTTTAGAAGAATGCTTTTATAAAATTACTGTATGTGTAAGAAAAAGATATTCAAAGACTATACTTGCAACATCAGTCAGTCATTTTCTAAGCTAATGCCTACAGTATTAAATTTTTTTCAGGTTCCATGTGAAGCACCATGGGCAGCCAAAAAAGCAAAACAGTGGGACTCGATGACAGTGGCACAGTTTATAGATAAAATTCTCTGGACCCAGTATGTACATTTTATTTATTTATTATTATTTTCATTACTATTATTATTATTAATTATTATTAATTATTATTATTATTATTATTATTATTATTATTATTATTATTATAATTATTATCATTATTATTATTATTATTATTGTGAAGGAATGGCAAAGGTGTATTTCAGTTTAAGTTAAAATACTATTTTCCTTTTTGGGGGGGGGGGGAGGGTAAAATGAAAGCAGTAAATATTTTCTGGTAAAACTTTTTTAATTTATTAATATTAAAAGCCTGCAGAGGCAAATCTATTGAGCTATGTATTATCTGCAATAAATATTTCAGATCGGCAAAAGAATATGCTGGAATTTTCATGAAAGCTTTATTTTGTGCAGAATTGTCCGAGATATCTCTCCTAGGTGCCCTATGGTACTTCAATTGCGGCGGTGGAGTTCTCAGACTTATCTCAATAACAAATGGTGCTCAGGTAAGCAAAGTTTATGAGATACTTATTTCATTATTTCCACTTTTGATGTTACTTTGAATCTGACCGTTTGTATACCTAATAATAATGATAAACTGATGTCACCAGTAAAGAACTAGGCCAGCCATTCGTCGCATTCAGACCAGAATCTATTCTGATTTAAAACATGTTTGTTTAAGCATGATTGCGAAACAAGTTCTTGCAACTTATATTAATAACTTGTGAGTTTGCTTCCTGGAACCAACCAGTACAGGTGTCTTGTGAAGAAACATGGTTGTGACCTGATTAGGGCTCGAACCCTGTTGGCTGCCAGTACTTTATATATTAAGCATTTTTGTATTAAAATCCCCATAATATCAGAGAATGATGAGCTTATTTTAAACCTGGACAAGTCTTGATATACATGTTCAGTTTGTCAAGGATTACTCTACTCCTAAGAAATACCTGTTTTCACTATGACTTAAAGGTAAGGATCAAGATCAGGATAAAATTTTATATTTCAAAATTTCCTCACTGTTAATTCTTAGAGATTTGATTTTCAATGTTAACTTCAATTTTTTTTTACAACTTTTAAAAAATTGATCCAAAAGTTAATCTTGATCCGAAAATTTATTTCTAATTTGATGCAGATCTTATTGATATCTGCACTATTATTCTTAAATTTTATTTCAAAATTAGTATGTTTAAATTTTGTCTATACAACAATCATTTCTGCCAAATTTGATTAATTTGTATAAATCTCACATCCATGAAACTAAAGTTAAAATTGTTTGTTCTTGAACCCGATCTTTGTTGTGAACATGGAACCATAAATAAGCAGACACATTTTTTAGCTAATGAAGTTAGGTTTTGTAACATTTATTTATGTTTAATTGTAGGAAAAAAAGGTTGAAGGAGGAACTCAGCAAATATCAGAAGGTCTTGCTAAACTGGTAGGGGATTATGTGAAGCTTAGTTCTCCAGCTGTTTATATAAAATATGATGATCATACAGTGATTGTTAAAGATTCTCATGGAAATGTTTATGAGGTAAATATACATATATTTTACATATATTTTACAAATAGCTTACTATGTCACTCATAATCTTTGAGAAACTCTGTATGTTTTGGTATTCTGCCACAGTTTGTTTTTGTGTCAGTTGGGATTACTGTGAATTCACTTAATTTCGTGGGCATGAAACTTTGTGGTTTTGTCAGGAAGAATATTGTTGTGGGTTCTTAAATTTATGGACTGTCTATTTTTCTAAAGGTGTTGCTAAACAAGTATAAAGACATATATATTAACAACTTTATTAGAATTTTTTTGTACTTCAGTCTTGTTTATATTGTAGGCTAGATATGTGATAAGTTCAGTGCCTCCACCACTTCTCAACCGGATAGAGTTTGATCCTCCGTTACCATGGGAACGATTACAACTAATGCAAAAAATGCCGATGGGATCAATAATTAAAACAGTGATGTATTATAAAACACAGTTTTGGAAAAAATTAGGTAAATGTGAATGTTGTTATTAATTGGTCTGAAAAATCAATTAAATTAGTTTTGATTGTTCAAAAAGGTTATAAAATGAATAGAAGTAAGATGCAAGTATACTAATAATTTGTTGAGCATATATATATATTGTTTTGATTGTCAATCAATGTGTATTGTTTGAATATATTTACTGGAGACTTATTCATTTGGGAATATGTTTTGTTAGTTTCCATAATCAAATTTGATTTATGTATTGACTTGAAATGATAAATGAATAAATAGTTTTCTATAATCATGGCTCAGTGGCCTATTGATAAGTACTACAGAAATGAAATCTTGTAAATGTTTGAATCCTTGACAAACCAGTTTTAAACTTTCTTTAACAAAGTATTTCTTTCTTACTGAGTTGGTAAATCATTAATTTGATTTGTGACATCTATTATTTTAAAGATACATTCATACATAAAACAGGAGTTACGTTCAGTTTTTATTGCAATTTGCTCAAAGACAAAGTGCTGTAGAGTTGAATGCCCTTCCCATGTATAGTTTTTGTTAAAAAAAATGAAAAGAAAATTTGTCTCTGTTTAAGTTGTGAACCTTGCATAATTGAAACTAATGTCTGATTTTAGATTTACATGATTTCTATAATTAGAAATACCATGTTTAGTTTTTGAGGCAATTTGTGCACATACAAAATGACTGAAAAGTGTGAGTGTTAAATTCTCATATACAGCTTTTAAAAAAAATAAGAAAAATCCCCCACCCCTCCCCAAAAAATAAATTAAAGAACAAAGATCCAGAATATTGACTCTAGTAACTGATAACATGATTTTATTGTAGATTTAAACGGTATAGCCCTGTCCTCTGACAGTGTGTGCTGTTGCTGCATAGATGATACAAAACCTAATGGTGGTCATCCAGCAATAATGGGGTTTATATTGGCTGATAGGGCTAGAGAAATGGCTGCTGCAACACCTCTTGTACGGTAAGAAACATGTATTGTGGCTGTAAAAAACTTAGTCTGGTACCTTGATTTTAAATCTTGGTAAACTACAGACAGTTGCACAGTCCATTATTTGTTTACGGAGATAAGAAAACATTGTCTGTTCATTTGAAGAAACTGTTAATAAAAATGTTTTGCAACAAAGCCAGAAATTTAAAATTGGTCATGAAGAATAAAGCTGATGTATATGAATTTTTCATGTATTTGTATATTTATTGAGGACTCACAAAATATATCATGCCTTTCCGCAGTAAATCATGCACTTTATTGAAAATCATAGAATATTTGCCTGCTTCACAGCCGAACAAGCACAATTTTGAAATTTCTGGCATGTTGGTTAGTTTGATGATTCTATTATATATTTCTTTTCATACGTTTAGTACCATGTCATCATGAAAACACAACTAATCTGCTAATTCAGAAAAAAGCACATTGTGTGGCAACTGTGCATTGATTATATTTGTAGTACACTGCAACCTCAGGAAGGTTGTTTTGATGATTTCTAGGTCAACTTCGAAGATGGGTCATCTCCGGTCAACAACTAGGTCACAGGAGCTAAAAATAGAAAAAGCTTGTTAACACTCTAGTGGCTGCAGTTTTCCTCCAAATATTCTCGAAATTTGTCAGGAAGGTTGTTTTGATGATATCTAAGTCAAGTTTGAAGAAGGGTCATGTCCGGTCAAAAACTAGGTCACATATTCTGAAAATAGAAGAAGCTCTAGTGGCTGCAGTTTTGATTCAAATATTCTGGATATTAGTCAGGAAGGTTGTTTTGATGATTTCTAAAGTCAAGTTGGAAGATGGGTTTTCTACGGTCAAAAACTAGGTCACAGGAGCTAAAAATAGAAAAAGCTTGTTAACACTCTAGTGGCTGCAGTTTTGATTCAAATATTCTGGAAATTTGTCAGGAAGGTTGTTTTGATGATTTCTAGGTCAAGTTCGAAGATGGGTCATCTCCGGTCAAAAACTAGGTCACAGCAGCTAAAAATAGAAAAAGCTTGTTAACACTCTAGTGGCTGCAGTTTTGATTCAAATATTCTGGAAATTTGTCAGGAAGGTTGTTTTGATGATTTCTAGGTCAAGTTCGAAGAAAGGCATATCCGGTCAAAAACTAGGCCACAGGATAAAAATAGAAAAAGCTTTTTAACACTTGTGGCTGCATTTTTGATCCAAATTACCTGGAAATTAGCCAGAAAGGTTGTTTTGATGATTTCTAGGTCAAGTTTGAATATGGGTCGTCTCCGGTCAAAAATTAGGTCACATTGCCCAAATATGGAAAAACTAGGGATGGCAACGAGTAACCGGTTAACCGAGTACTCGATCGAACGTCCGAATATCGGTTAACAAAATTGATATTCGATTACTCGGAAAAAAATGTATAATTTCTATTTTATTTGCTATTTAGACATTAAATTTAATAAATGTATCCAATTAGTTCAGAAATTCGGAGATGTGCATATACCTTCATAAATACCTGTTAAATGCAATCACAACTTCCTTGCAGAGGTGTGAAAATGATACAATAAATTTAATGAGGGGATCAACAGTTTGACACGCGCACATGTGTCGCTTACGTCATCCGGCCTCTTATGATATTTAGTAACCTTTAATTGTGTATCACAGTGCAGTTTGTACCCGAATCTTGTTTTAAGGTAACATTTTTGAAAACAACAAAGGGCCGTATTGCTATTATGATATGATAATTAAGTTAGTATTTAGACCCGGGTAAACTTTTGTTGACGCCGATTAGTCTATTTTATTACAGGAAGAAAAAGATGTTTCAACTGTTAAACATGTTTTAAACTTAATATTGCAATAATAAATATGTTCTAAAATATAATGTCGTTGATTTAATTTTAATTAATTTGTCTCCTTTGCAGTCCTATCTATAGTTACAAATTCTATGAATGTAAATAGAAACGAAAGTAGCATGCAGACAGTGTTGATATTGTGTGATAAACTTTGAAGATCATTGGAAATCGTCCGAGTAACCGAGTACTCGATCGGAAAAATGACCGAGTACTCGAGTATTGATTTTGGTATTTGTTGCCATCCCTAGGAAAAACCTTTTTAACACACTAGAGGTCACATGTTTGACTCAGTTGTCATCAAACTTGGCCAGGATGCTTGTCTAAGACATTGCTTGGATGCTGTTGATGGGTCAGGGGAGCGATCCAGGGCCATCATGGCCCTTTTGTTATTTTTTTGCCTCTTGTTCATGGCCCAAGTTGTTACGGTTGTTTACTTCAATTAAACCACTTGCCTCTTTTTCATGGCTGAAGTTGTTAAGGTTGTTTACTTCAAACCACTTGCCTCTCATCCATGGCTGAAGTTGTTAAGGTTGTTTACTTCAAACCACTTGCTTCTCAACACTGTAGGTTCCAGTTGCTAAGGTTGTTTACTTCAAACCACTTGCTTCTCAACACTGTAGGTTCCAGTTGCTAAGGTTGTTTACTTCAAACCACTTGCTTCTCAACACTTTAGGTTCCAGTTGCTGAGGTTGTTTACTTCAAACCACTTGCCTCTCATCCATGGCTGAAGTTGTTAAGGTTGTTTACTTCAAACCACTTGCTTCTCATCCATGGCTGAAGTTGTTAAAGTTGTTTACTTCAAACCACTTGCTTCTCAACACTGTAGGTTCCAGTTGCTAAGGTTGTTTACATCAAACCACTTGCTTCTCAACACTGTAGGTTCCAGTTGCTAAGGTTGTTTACTTCAAACCACTTGCCTCTCATCCATGGCCCAAGTTGTTAAGGTTGTTAACTTTAATTTAACCACTTGCCTCTTTTTCATGGCCAAAGTTGTTAAGGTTGTTTACTTCAAACCACTTGCTTCTCAACACTGTAGGTTCCAGTTGTGCAAGCGTCTTTGGATTCTTTCAGGTGAAAAAGTTATCCAGCTACCTTACAGAACGTCGGTGTCTCTACTTTGGTACCCTTTGTGTCTGAAATAAAGCAAACAGGAGCACTTGAGGTCTTCCTCAACCAGTAAAACTGGAAAGTCACCATATGACCTATACTGTGTTTGAGCGATGTAAACCCAATAAAACAAAATTCTGCCTGATTTACATATGTTCACTATCATTTGTAATTTGGATAATGGACTTCTAAAACAACTATCTTGTTATAACAGGAAAGAAGCACTATGTGCTCACTATGCCTGGGTGTTTGGGACAGATGATTTCCTACACCCTGTAGATTATAGAGAATATAATTGGATGGCAGATCAGTATTCTGGTGGATGTTACAGTTCAGTGATGCCCCCAAATGTCATAACAAAATATGGAAGGTATATAAGAAATTTATTTCTAAAGAATTATTCTATATTGTTATTGAAATATAGATGAATGTGATATGTTTGTTGTGGTGTTGTATACTTGATTAATTAGGGCATACCTACAGATTTGTACTTAATAATGTCACTTTAGAAAAAAGTTCTTGTACTATTTGCCAGCCCCTGTAAATTTTGTCTCTTTGGTCTACAATTGGCACATTTTCTATAGGTATTTCAACTCTTGATATAAAATTAGTAATTTATCCTGAGTGATTAAGTATGAATATTTTTATGATTAATAATATTAAATATTTTGTACTAGTACATTTTATTATCTGCTATATAAATAAATATATGTAATATCAGGTCATGTATCTCATACAACACGCATATATAATTCTTTTGCGGTTTGATGTAAAATAATATGTCTCCTGATTACTATCAGTGTATTTATTTTTAGCTCACCTGTCACAAAGTGACAGGGTGAGCTTTTGTGATCGCTTTTCATCCGTCGTCAGTCCATCTGTAAACTTTTACTTTAAATGACATCTCCTCATAAACCACTAAGCCAATTTCATCCAAACTTCACAGGAATGTTCCTTTGGTGGTCACCTTTAAAAATTGTTCAAAGAATTTAATTCCATGCAGAACTCTGGTTGCCATGGCAACCGAAAGAAAAAACTTTAAATATCTTCTTTTAAAAAACCCTAAGACCTAGAGCTTAGATATTTGGCATGAAACATCCTCTAATGAGTGTCTACCAAGTTTGTTCAAATAAAAGCCCTGGGGTCAAAATTGGCCCCGCCCCAGGGGGTCTTTGATTTTCCCTATATGCATATAGTAAAAACTTAAAATATCTTCTTTTAAAGAACCCAAAGAGCTAGAGCTAAGATATTTAGCATGAAACATCTTCTAATGAGTGTCTACAAAGTTTGTTCAAATAAAAGTCCTGGGGTCAAAATTGGCCCCGCCCCAGGGGGTCATTGATTTTCCCTATATGCATATAGTCAAAACTTAAAAAATCTTCTTTTAAAGAACTCAAAGAGCTTGAGCTAAGATCTTTAGCATGAAACATGTTCTAATGGGTGTCTCCCAAGTTTGTTCAAATAAAAGCCCTGGGGTCAAAATTGGCCCTGCCCCAGGGGTCATTGATTTTCCTTATATGTGTATAGCAAAAACTTAAAAATTCTTCTTTGAAAAAACCCAAATAGCTAGAGTTAAGATATTAAGCATGAAACATCTTCTAGTGAGTGTCAACCAAGTTTGTTCAAATAAAAGCTCTTGGGTCAAAATTGGCCCTGCCCCAGGGGTCATTGATTTTCCTTATATGTGTATAGCAAAAACTTAAAAAATCTTCTTTGAAAAAACACAAATAGCTGGAGTTTAGATATTAGGCATGAAACATCTGCTAGTGAGTGTTTACAAAGTTTGTTCAAATTAAAGCTCTGGGGTCAAAATTGGCCCCGCCCAGGGCGTCTTTGATTTTCCCTATATTCATAAAGTAAAAACTTAAAAAATCTTCTTTTAAAGAACTCAAAGAGCTAGAGCTAAGATATTTAGCATGAGACATGTTCTAATGAGTGTCTACCAAGTTTGTTCAAATAAAAGCCCTGGGGTCAAAATTGGCCCGGCCCCAGTGGGTCATTGATTTTCCCTGTATGCATATAGTAAAAACTTAAAAAATCTTCTTTTAAAGAACTCAAAGAGCTAGAAGTAAGATATTTAGCATGAAACATCTTCTAATTGGTGTCTACCAAGTTTGTTCAAATAAAAGCCCTGGGGTCAAAATTGGCCGTGGCCCCCGGGTGTCATTGATTTTCCTTATATATAGCAAAAACTTAAAAAATCTTCTTTGAAAAAACCCAAATAGCTGGAGTTTAGATATTAAGCATGAAACATCTTCTAGTGAGTGTCTACAAAGTTGTTCAAATAAAAGCCCTGGCCCCGTGTTCACAAAGATTTAAGGATCAGGATCAAGATCAGGATCAAATTTAAAAACCCTGATATTCTTCATTGTTTATCCTCATAGATAAATATCTGATTATAAATTTGATAAAACTGGACTTGAAATAGCAAGTATATGAAATTTTTAGAATAAATTAATTGTTAATTTTGCAAAAAGATATGGCATTTTACAGTTGATCCAAATATTGAGCCTGATCCTAAAATTGATCCTTATTTTCATCCAAATATTTTGTATTTGTTTTTGTTATTTTGTTGATTTTATCCCAAAATAGTTTGTTTTCTTTGCAAATCAGCAATATTTTTACATTTTTGAATATTTACAATTTAATTCAACAAAAACAAAAAATTTGGGTAACATTAAACAATGAAAATAAAATCAGGATCAACTTGATCCTGATCCTGATCTTTTC